AGTTGAGGACTCCCTGTAATTCTGGTTTTTTTTTTTCCAGAGGCCAAGAAAACGGTCCGGCATTGTCCTTTATATATCGTTTCAGAATGGAAAAGAGGGACGTGGGGTTTTAAGCTTCAGGCAAGCTCTGATTCCGATTGAATTTCAGGAAAAGAGAAAAAAACCCATTTTTTTTTTGCATCTACCCCCCCTCCACCCACCCCGCCCCATCGCACAGCGGAGCCAATTATCCAGAGTGCTGATGGGTTTCGGTTCCAGCCGAATTGCACTGAACTAACCATTTGCGCTCCTGATGGGTGTATCCATGTGGTTTTATCTCAGTTTTTTCTTTCTTTTAATGGCAAGAATATTTAATTTAATTAACCAGTGGAACCGCCTGCCTCCAGAAGTTGGGAATGCTCCAACACTGGAGGTTTTTAAGAAGAGATTGGACAGCCATTTGTCTGAGATGGTCTAGGGCAGTGGTTCTCAACCTGTGGGTTGGGACCCCGTTTGGGGTCGAACGACCATTTCACGGGGGTCGCCAAACAACACAGTCCGTCATTTTTTCCCCCCTTTTCCTTAGCTGTGCTCCTCCCTTTTATTCTATTGGCTTTTGAAAGCCAATAGAAGAGACTCTCTTGAATAGAGTCTAATTCTATTGGCTTTCCAAAGCCAATAGGAATTGTCCGGGCTGTCTCTGCCCTGCCGAGCCCGCCAAAAGTCCCATTCTGCAAATGGTGCTGCATCAGTTGAGTAGTCCTCGACTTACGACCGGTTGATTAGTCCTCGACTTACGACCGGTTGGGGGTCGTGGCATTAAAAAGATTGAGAACCACTGGTATAGGGTCTCCTGCCTGAGCATGGGGTTGGACTAGAGGACCTCTAAGGTCCCTTCCAACTGTTATTCTGTTGTTCTGTTATTCTTTTTTCCTTCCTTTCTTCCTCTCTCCCTCCCTCCCTCTCTCCCTCCCTCCTTCCCTCCCTTCCTTCCTCTCTCCCTTCCTCCCTCCCTCCTTCCTTACTTCCTTCCTCTCTCCCTTCCTCCCTTGCTCCCTCCCTCCCTCCTTCCCTCCCTCCCTCCCTCCCTTCTCCAACACTGGAAGTTTTTATGAAGAGACTGGACAGCCATTTGTCAGGGTTCCTGCCTGAGCAGGGGGTTGGACTAGATGACCTCCAAGGTCCCTTCCAAGTCCTATTCTATTCTATTCTATTCTATTCTATTCTATTCTATTCTATTCTATTCTATTCTGCACCATTGGGGCAAAAAAATAATAATACATGCCTTAAAACAGGGATGTCCAACCTTGGAAATGTAAAGTCTTGTGGACTTCGACTCCCAGAATTCCCCAGCCAGCACAGCTGGCTGGGGAATTCTGGGAGTCAAAGTCCACAAGTTTTAAAGTTCCCGGATTGCATCTCCCTGCCTCCTGAAAGTCTTTTTCTCCTCCTTCTCCCCGATAAAGTCTGCTCCACATTTTGCAAGCTTTTTTCACAAAGAGAAAAGAGAGAGAGAGAGACCAACAATAAGTCATCGACATTTCTTGGGCACAATATCACTAGGCGAGGTCCATTCTTTCCAGGGTCCTGCAGGATTTGCACCCTGCCCTTCTCCGCCTGCCTCCCCTTGACTCGTATCCGAGGGTTTTTTTTTTTTTCTCTCCTTTTTAAAAAAAATCTCCTGAGCCAAATTCTTCTGGCAGAGACATTATCATGTGAAAGGGAGCGCAACGGGATGGCGAGGATGGATCGGCTGATGGGTGGGCAAGGAGGAAGGGGCGGGGGGGGAGGGGAGAGAGAGAGAGAGAGAGAGGAGAGAAGGAGAGGAAGAGAGGGAGAGAGACAGAGATAGGGAGAGAAAGAAGGGAGAAAGAAAGAAAGAAAGAAAGAAAGAAAGAAAGAAAGAAAGAAAGAAAGAAAGAAAGAAAGAGGAGACAGCAATAGAGAAAGGAAGAGGGAGAGAGGAGAGAGAGAAAGAGAGAAAAGGGAGAGGGAGGGAGAGAGAAGGAGACAGAGAGAAAGAGGAGAAAGAAAGAGAGAGAGAGAGGGACGGAGAGGAAGAGGGAGGGAGGGAGAGAAAAGAGGAGAAAGGGAGGGAGAAGAGAGAGAAAGAGAGCAAGAGAAAAAGAGAGAAAGAGAGAAAAGAGAGAGAGAAGGAGAGAGAGAGGAGAGAGAGCGCGAGAAAGTGAGAGAGAGGAGAGAGAGAGAGACCAAAGGAGACAAAGAGTGAGAGAAAAAGAGAGAGAAAAGAGAGAGGAGAGAGAAAGAGTGAGAGAAAGAGAAAAAGAGTGAGAGAAAGAGAGAGAGAGGAGAAAGAAAGAGAAGAGAAAGGGAGAGAGGGAGGGAGAGAGAGAGAGAAAGAGAGAAAAAGAGAGAGAAAGAGGGAGAGAAAAGAGAGAGAGAGAAAGAGAGAGAGAAAAGAGAGAGAAGAGAGAAGGAGAGAGGGAAAGAGGACAGAGCGCAAGAAAGTGAGAGAGAGGAGAGAGAGAGAGAAGAGACCGAAGGAGAGAGAAAGAGAAAGAGTGAGAGAAAGAGAAAGAGTGAGAGAAAGAAAAAGAGTGAAAGAAAGAGAGAGAGAGGAGAAAGAAAGAGAAGAGAAAGGGAGGGAGGGAGGGAGAGAGAGAGAGAGAAAGAGACAGAAAAAGAGAGAAAGGGGGGAGAGAAAGAGAAAGAGAGAAAAAGAGAGAGAAAGAGGGAGAGAAAAGAGAGAGAAAGAGAGAGAGAAAAGAGAGAAGGAGAGAAAGAAGAGAGGGAAAGAGAGAGCGCAAGAAAGTGAGAGAGAGAGGAGAGAGAGAGAAGAGACCGAAGGAGACAGAGAAAGAGAGAGAGAGAGAAAAAAGCTGTCTGGAAAAAAAGGCTTAAAAGAAAAGGGAGCATTCAGATCCTCATTTAGCAGACATCCTTGCAACGCAGGCAGTCCTCGACTTACGACTGTCCAATTAACAACGTGCTGGCATCAGAGCGCCCATCAGTGTCTTCAAACAGCCGACTTCCTCCTCTTTTATTCTGGCGCTCCAAAACGGGGGTCCTCCCCTTACAACCGCCCGTTTAGCGACTCTTCCAAATTACGAATTGTGCTGAAAAAAGGGGACTTACGATAGAGCTCTGCATTGAAGCTGTGTCTTATAATAATAATAATAATAATAATAAAGTTGGAAGGGACCTCGGAGGTCATCTAGTCCAACCCCCTGGATAGATATTTTTTCAAGTGGAACCTCTCCAATCAACACAGGAGTCCTCAGCTTACCACCCCGGGTTTAGCAACGGCTCAAAGTTACCATTAAAAAGTGACTTACAGCCGGTCCTCGCATTTTTGACCGGTCCTCAGAATTATGACCGTTCCAGCATCCCCACCAAAATTCAAGCCTTTGGCGACCGGCATGTCTTTAAGACGGGGGAGGGTGTCACATGATTGCATCCGGGAGGGTCACATGATTGCAACCTTCCCAGCAGGTTCCGACAAGCCAAGTCAATAGGCGAGGCCAGATTCGCTTAACGACCGTGTGATTCGCTAAACAACGGCAGCGCTTCACTTCGCTAGCCGCGTCAAAGAAAGCTCTTAAAATCGGGCCCGACTCCCAACGATGGCATCCCTTGACCACAGAGGTCCTATCGAGGTCGTATCTTGAGGACTAGCAACTCCGTAGATTTAGGGATTCTTGGTCGTCTTCTTTTGCACGGACTTTTTTTTTTTTTTTGGGAGCCAATTCCGGCGTTTCTATCAGTCACTTCTCACTTTTCCGGTGGAGGAATTTTATTTTTGTAATTTGAGGCGACAGGTGAGCTGAAAAATTGTCGTTGTGGGGTTTTTTTTGGGTTTTGTTTTTTTTAAACAACGAAGCTGTTTCAGCCTGTTCTCGCAACCCTGTTCCTGAAATAGACCGGCATTTGTGGAGAAATCTGGGTGACCTGGATAATAATCTTTTTTTCCGAAGCCCCTTAAACTTTTTCAGCTTCGTTAAAGGAAAAAACAGGGAGTCCTCGGCTTGCGGTCGCAATGCAGCCTCAGAATTCCGTCGCTAAGCGAGACGTTTGTTATAAGGGAATTTCGCCCCGTTTTTACCATCTTGCTTTGCCACTGGTCGTTAAGGGAATCCCTGCAGTGGTTGAACGAGCAACACAATTGACTTTGCTTGTCAGAAAGTCGCAAAAGGGGATCGCGTGACACCCCCCCCCAGAACGCTGTGACCGTCGTAAATTGGAATCAGTTGCCGGGCGTCTGAAATTTTGATCACGTGACCGTGGACATGCTGCAGTGGTCGTTAAGTGTGAAACACGGACTTTTCCGTGCCGTTGTAAGTTCGGTCGCTAAATGAAAAGTTGTAATTTGAGGACTGCTTGTGTCCAAGGCCCATCCCACCCTCCCAAAGTGCTCCAAGCCCTGGATTGCAAGGCCATCATTCAACCAGTCAAGCTCCGAGCCCTGGATTGCAAGACGCCCATTCAACTGGTCAAGCTCCGAGCCCTGGATTGCAAGCCCGCCATTCAACCGGTCAAGCTCCGAGCCCTGGATTGCAAGACCCCCATTCAACCGGTCAAGCTCCGAGGCCTAGATTGCAAGACCCTCATTCAACTGGTCAAGCTCTGAGCCCTGGATTGCAAGCCCACCATTCAACTGGTCAAGCTCCGAGCCCTGGATTGCAAGACCCCCCATTCAACCGGTCAATCTCCGAGGCCTGGATTGCAAGGCCATCATTCAACCGGTCAAGCTCCAAACCCCAGATTGCAGGACCCCCATTCAACGGTCAAGCTCCGAGGCCTAGATTGCAAGGCCATCATTCAACTGATCAAGCTCCGAGCCCTGGATTGCAAGGCCATCATTCAACCGGTCAAGCTCCGAGCCCTGGATTGCAAGACCCCCATTCAACCGGTCAAGCTCCGAGCCCTGGATTGCAAGACCCCCATTCAACCGGTCAAGCTCCGAGCCCTGGATTGCAAGACCCCCATTCAACCAGTCAAGCTCCGAGCCCTGGATTGCAAGCCGCCATTCAACCGGTCAAGCTCTGAGGCCTAGATTGCAAGGCCATCATTCAACCAATCAATCTCCAACTCCTGGATTGCAAGGCCATCATTCAACCGGTCCATCTCCAAGCCCTGCATTGCAAGCCCGCCATTCAACTGGTCCAGCTCCAAGCCTTGGAATGTACCCACAGACATCAAACTATTTGGCCCCGATTTCCTTGCAAATAAAGAATTATGCAATATAAAAGTGGGCAGCACCCAGCTGGATTTCCATTGGATGGGCAAGACTGGCTAAAGCCATTGGTCGCTTCCTGGAACGCTCAAGTGTGACATCACCCCACATGCCCCCCCTCCCACCATAACCGCTGTTGACCGGTTGCTTCCGCCATTCCAGCCCCTGCTGTCTTTCCTGGCCGCCGTGGGTCTGGTGGGATCCTTCTGGCTTATTGCAGTAGGCTAATTTTGAGGTCCAGCGGGCGAGAAAATGAGACATAAACCCCTAGGAAGTGGGGTACCCCTAACCTCCTGGGTGTATTTAATTGGGGATTAAATAGTCTTGACTTTCTCCACCTTGGCAGCAGGGTGGACTTCAACTCCCAGAATTCCCCATCAAGCTGCTAAAGTGGAGAAACGCTGCTGTCGGTATTATTAGCAGAGGCCTTAAGGAGAGAAAATCAAAGCTGGAGGTGAAGCTTTAAGGCAGATGACCAGCAACATTTGTAAGGTTGAGTAGGGCTAGGCAGCCTTCCCCAGCCTGGGGTGGTCCAGAGGCATGGGGGATGGGGATGATGGGAGTTGAAGTGAACAGGAAGAAGAAGTAGCCGGCAGACTACTCTGCGGAGCAGGGGCGGGTTGTGTAGGATGGGTAGAATGGATTAGAGTCAAGTAGGGACAATTCTGGGGAGCAGTGGTGGGTTAAGTAGAGTAGAGATAACTCTGAGGAGCAGTAGTGGGTTAAGTGGAGTAGAGTAGAGTTGAGTAGAGACAACTCTGGGGAGCAGTAGTAAATTAAGTAGAGTAGAAATGAGTAGAGACAACTTTGGGGAGCAGTAGTAGATTAAGTAGAGTAGAAATGAGTAGAGACAACTCTGGGGAGCAATAGTGGGTTAAGTAGAGTACAGTAGAGTTTAGTAGAGACAACTCTGGGGAGCAGTAGTGGGTTAAGTAAAGTACAGTAGAATTTAGTAGAGACAACTCTGGGGAGCAGTAGTGGGTTAAGTAGAGTAGAGTAGAGTTGGCTAGAGACAACTCTGGGGAGCAGTAGTGATTAAGTAGAGTAGAGTAGAGTTTAGTAGAAACAACTCTGGGGAGCACTAGTGGGTTAAGTAAAGTACAGTAGAGTTTAGTAGAGACAACTCTGGGGAGCAGTTGTAGGTTAAGTAAAGTATAGTAGAATTTAGTAGAGACAACTCTGGGGAGCAGTAGTGGGTTAAGTAGAGTAGAGTAGAGTTGGCTAGAGACAACTCTGGGGAGCAGTAGTGGTTAAGTAGAGTAGAGTAGAGTTTAGTAGAAACAACTCTGGGGAGCAGTAGTGGGTTAAGTAAAGTACAGTAGAGTTTAGTAGAGACAACTCTGGGGAGCAATAGTGGATTAAGTAGAGCAGAGTTTAGTAGCAACAACTGGGGAGCAGTAGTGGATTAAGGAGAGTAGAGTTGGGTAGAGACAACTCTGGGGAGCAGTAATGGGTTAGGTAGAGTAGAGGTGAGTAGAAACAACTCTGGGGAGCAGTAGTGGGTTAGGTAGAGTAGAGGTGAGTAGAAACAACTCTGGGGAGCAGTAGTGGGTTAGGTAGAGTAGAGGTGAGTAGAAACAACTCTGGGGAGCAGTAGTGGGTTTAAGTAGAGTACTGTAGATTAGAGTTGAGTAGAAACAACTTTGGGGAGCAGTAGTGGATTAAGGAAAGTAGAGTTGAGTAGAAACAACTTTGGGGAGCAGTAGTGGATTTAAGTAGAGTACTGTAGAGTAGAGTTGAGTAGAGACGAATCTGGGGAGCAGTAGTGGGTTAACTAGTGTTGGACAGAATGGGTGGAGTTGGTTGAGTAGAGTAGAGCTGAGTAGAGTTGAATAGAGACAACTCTGGGGAGCAGTTGTAGGTTAAGTAAAGTACAGTAGAATTTAGTAGAGACAACTCTGGGGAGCAGTAGTGGGTTAAATAGAGTAGAGTAGAGTTGGCTAGAGACAACTCTGGGGAGCAGTAATGGTTAAGTAGAGTAGAGTAGAGTTTAGTAGAAACAACTGGGGAGCAGTAGTGGGTTAAGTAAAGTACAGTAGAGTTTAGTAGAGACAACTCTGGGGAGCAATAGTGGATTAAGTAGAGCAGAGTTTAGTAGCAACAACTGGGGAGCAGTAGTGGATTAAGGAGAGTAGAGTTGGGTAGAGACAACTCTGGGGAGCAGTAGTGGGTTAGGTAGAGTAGAGGTGAGTAGAAACAACTCTGGGGAGCAGTAGTGGGTTTAAGTAGAGTACTGTAGATTAGAGTTGAGTAGAAACAACTTTGGGGAGCAGTAGTGGATTAAGGAAAGTAGAGTTGGGTAGAGACAACTTTGGGGAGCAGTAGTGGGTTAGGTAGAGTAGAGTTGAGTAGAAACAACTTTGGGGAGAAGTAGTGGGTTTAAGTAGAGTACTGTAGAGTAGAGTTGAGTAGAGACGAATCTGGGGAGCAGTAGTGGGTTAACTAGTGTTGGACAGAATGGGTGAAGTTGGTTGAGTAGAGTAGAGCTGAGTAGAGTTGAGGAGAGACAACTCTGGGGAGCAGTGGCGGTTGCGCCAAAAAGAAAGAGAGGCAGTGATCTCCCTAAGGCAGCGGTTCTCAACGTTTGTGTGACGGCGACCCCCGTCACACAAACGTTATGCGCATGCGCAGTGCGGCATGCATGGGAGTGGCCTCCATGCACAGCACGCATCCATGATGGCGCCCCCATGCGCGGCGCGCATCCACGACGACGCCCCCATGCACGGCGCACATGTGCGGTGGCGCCCCCGGAGGCGCGCCGCTGCCCCCATGCGAGGCACGCATGCGCGACGCCGCCCCTGGAGGGGAGAAAATGGCGGATCGCCGCCTTTGGCGACCCCCGAAAAATGGTCGATCGACCCCAAATGGGGTCGCGACCCATAGGTTGAGAACCGCTGCCCTAAGGCATGGTAAAAAAAGTCCAGATGACAGCTACGATGGCACAATTGACTTTTTTGGGACCGTACCTTGTGGACCACCCCATGAAAGGAATTAAGGGGAGAGGGTCTTAAAGATAAAGTGGTGATCCATGGGAGAAGAGATGGAGGATTTTCCTTCCCAACAGTGCTAGTAATCAGGTCTTTATCTAGGCCTCCTCAAGCCCTACCTGAACGTGGGCTTGGGGTCCCCTTCCTACTCCAGCCCCTTCTTCTCTCTCCCCAGGTCATGGCAGCCCACGTCCCGATGGCCCCCGGTCTTCCTCAGATGCTCAAAGCAGGGATGAAGTACTTCAGCGGCTTGCAAGAGACCCTCTTCACCAACCTGATGGCCTGCAAGGCCTTGATGCACTGCCTGCGCACGTGCTACGGCCCCTTGGGCCACAACAAGCTGGTGATCAACCACGTGGGCAGGATGTTCCATTCCTCCCACGCCGCCACCATTGTGAAGGAGCTGGAGCTGGAGAGCCCCATGGCTTGCCTGTTGCGCTCCGCTGCCGAAACCCAAGAGGAAGAGACGGGGGACGGGACCAATTTCGTCGTCCTGCTGGCTGGGGCCCTGCTGGAGAACGCGGAGAAGCTCCTCAGGTCCGGCCTGTCGATGGTCCACATCCGAGCGGGCTACGACATGGCTTGCAAAGAGGTCCTACGGCTCTTGCCGGGCCTGGTCTGCTTCACGCTGAAAAACCCCCGCCACCAGGAGGAGGTGCAATGTGTATTGCAGTCCATCATGGGCAGCAAACTTTTTGGCTACCAAAAGTTCTTGTCCAAGCTGGTGGCCACGGCGTGCATCTCGGTGGCGCCTCCCGACCACTCAGCTTTCAACCCGGATCTCATCCGGGTCTTCAAAGTCCCGGGAGGGGCCATCTTGAACTCCTACGTCTTGGAAGGGATGCTCCTCCCCGCGGAGGCCGAGGGCATCATCAAGCGCGTGGAGAGAGCCCGAATCGTGGCCTACTGTTGTCCTTTTGGCGTCTCCAGGTTTGAAGCCAAGAACACGGTCAGGTTCGAAAGCGCCTCCCAGCTGAAGAACTTCGGCAAAACGGAAGAAAATATCATGGCCGAACGAGTCCTGGCTCTCGCCAAAGCCGGGGTGAACGTCATGGTGGTGGGAGGAAGGGTGGACGCCCTGGCCGTCTTCTACGCCGACCGTTGCAGGATCATGGTGGTGCGACTGCCCTCCCGGATGCAACTCCAGCGCCTGTGCAAAATGGCGGGCGCCACCCTACTGTTCAAGCCCACCGTGCCGTCGCCCGAGGACATGGGACACTGCTATCGTGTCTACACCACCGAGATCGGCAGCACCAGTGTACTGGTCTTCAGTCAACACGGCACGCCGTGTCCTTTGGCTACGGTGGTGCTCCGAGGAGCCACCGGCGAGATGCTGGACTGTCTGGAAGAAGCCATCCGAGATGGCGTGCAGGTTTACAAGAACCTGGGCACCGATGCCCGGCTCTTGCCAGGGGCCGGGGCCACCGAGATGGCTCTCTCGGTACGCCTGAGCACTCTGGGCATGTACTACCCCGGATGTGAACAATACGGCATTTTGGAGTTCTCCCAAGCTTTGAAAACTCTCCCCGCCATCCTGGCGGACAATTCAGGCCTGTCGGTCAACGAGATGATGGCCAAGATGGAAATCCAGCATCAACTAGGCAACCAGAATACCGGCATCCTGTTGGGCGTGGAAGAGGCCAGCACCGTGGACGCCGCTGCGGAAGGTGTGCTGGACCCGTACCTGGTGAAATACCGGGGTATCGTCCTGGCCACTCAAATAGCAATGACGTTGTTAGATGTCAGCGACATCATGGTGGCCAAGAAGAGTGGGGGTCCCAAACCACGAGGGGATAACCCCAACTGGGACAAAGAACCAGACGAGTTGGATTGAGGGGGGGGGGTCTCTTTTCTTCTCAAGTTGGCCACGAGCGTCCTGTACAGAATGTAACAGGCCTGCCCTGCGCAGCGTCTCCGTCCTTTTCAGTTTTAACTAATAAAATCTTGGTCTCCATCAAAAAGGAAATGGGTTTCTCGCTTGCCATCCAGCACTGAGTAGCGGGGTGGGAGACATCTTTGCTTTGGACGAGGGGATAGACGGGGAACTCATCAAATTTGCAGATGACACCAAGCTGGCAGGAATAGCCAACACTCCAGAAGACAGGCTTAGGATACAGGAGGACCTGGACCAGCGGTTCTCAACCTATGGGTCGCGACCCCATTTGGGGTCGATCGACCATTTCTCGGGGGTCGTCAAACAAGGCGATCCGCCATTTTCCCCCCTTGGGGGGCGCCGCCGCGCATGCGCATCGCGCATGGGGCGGCGCCACGCATGGGGCGGCGCTGCGCCGTGCATGGGGGCAGCCCCGTGCATGCGCGGCACGTTTGTGTGACAGGGGTCGCCATCACACAAACGTTGAGAAGCACTGACCTGGACAGACTTGAACACTGGGCGCTATCTAACAAAATGAAATTCAGTGGTGAAAAAAGCAAGGTTCTACATTTAGGCAAGAAGAACCAAATGTACAGGTTTAGTATAGGGGGTACCTTGCTCAATAGTAGTAACTGTGAGAGGGACCTCGGAATCCTAGTGGACAATCCCTTAAATATGAGCCAGCTGTGTGCTGCAGCTGTCAAAAAAGCCAACACAGTGTTAGGCTGCATTAACAGAGGGATAGAATCAGGATCAGGTGAAGTATTAATACTACTTTACAAGGCCTTGGTAAGGCCACACGTGGAATACGGCATCCAGTTTTGGTCACCACGATGTAAAAAAGGTGTTGACACTCTAGAAAGAGTACAGAGAAGAGCAACAAAGAGGATCAGGGGACTGGAGGCCAAAACATATAAGGAACGGTTGCTGGAATTGGGTATGTCTAGTTTAATGAAGAGAAGGATAAGGGGCTGCCCCGAAGAAGAAGGAGTCAAGCTATTCTCCAAAGCGCCTGAAGGCAGGACAAGAAACAACGGATGGAGACTCATCAAGGAGAGAAGCAACCTAGAACTAAGGAGAAACTTCCTCACAGTCAGAAAAATTAACCAGTGGAACTACCTGCCTCCAGAAGCGGTGAATGCTCCAACAGTGGAAGTTTTTAAGAAGAGACTGGACAGCCATTTATCTGAAATGGTATAGGGTCTCCTGCCTGAGCAGGGGGTTGAACTAGATGACCTCCAAGGTCCCTCCCAACTTTATTATTATTATTATTATTAATATTATTATTATTATTAATTTTCCAATAATGTCCCTCTTCTCTAACATCTGGATCTGTTGCTCAGAGCTTCTAAGAGCTGGATTCCAAGGCTGGAGAGTGAAGAAATTAATGGGGAAAGAGTTCCCACGAGAATTAACATAGACAGGTCGTCCTTGACCTACGAGCCCAGCTGAGCCCCAACATTCCTGTCGCTAAGCGAGACAGCTCAGTGAAATTTTGCCCCCTTTTTACGACCTTTCCTGCCACCGTTCTTAAGCGAATCACTGCACGGTCGCTAAGTGGCTTCCCCATGGACCGTCGGATGGTCGCCAAAAGGGGACCATGTGACCCCCGGGGGATGCTGCGCCCGTCATAAACACGAGTCAGTCGCCAAGCGTCCGAATTTTCATCACGGGGTTACGGTGCACTAAACGCACTGTTGTAAGTTGAGGACGACCTCCAGTGTGCCGCGAGATGGAACTGGGGTGGGGGTGGGGTGCTTCTGGCTGGGGTCCTGAGGCTGCACCTGCAGCTCTTCTAACTCTAGGTCCAAAAGCGGCAATTAGCAACTACGGTTCTCCGTCCAGGAGTAATTAACTCAATGGTCCACGACGAGGCTCATTTCTCGGTGATCAATGAAACGAAAACCCACGTCGGTTTTCAGGTGCAACCTCACATTTGGTGGAGGAACCGCCAGGAGTGCTGGCAAAGGGGATCAGTTTTGGGGGGCCATAATGGAGAAAGGGGTTCCACCCACAGCCAGACCCCAGCAAGGGATTCCCATTGACTTGAGACCCCCGCCCGCCCTTTGGCTGAGCAGCTTCATTTGCCCCCCACAGGTGGGGGGTCTCTGCTAATGGGACATGGCGACCCAGCTTTTCTAAAGTGGGCCCAGAGTCCAGCTGAGCCCTGGATTCAAATGCCGGCCATCAGCGACGAAACGAAGGAGTGGGGTTGATTTCGGACACGTCTCAGCACAGTGGGGTGTTGTTGTTTTTTTCTTTCCGTCCAGAGGCGATTTTGAGAGGACGGGAAAAAGCTTCCTAAGGGCAGAAACCTCCGAAAAGCAGAGTGAGATCTGGACACAAAGAGCGATGACGGGATAACGGAGTTGGAAGGGACCTCGGAGGTCATCTAGTCCAACCCCCCTGGCTCAGGCAGGAGACCCTGTACCCTTTCAGACAAGTGGCTGTCCAGTCTCTTCTTAAAAAGGAAGAGGAGGAGGAGGAGGAATAACAGGATAACAGAGTTGGGAGGGACCTTGGAGGTCATCTAGTCCACCACCCCCCGCTCAAGTGGACGACCCTATTCCATTTCGGACAAATGGTTGTCCAATCTCTTCTTCAAAACCTCCAGTGATGGAGCACCCGCAACTTCTGGTGGCAAGCCGTTCCCCGGGTTAATTGTTCTCCCTGTCAGAAAAAAATTAAGTCTAGGTTGCTTCTCTCCTTGGTGAGTTTCCATCCGTGACTTCTTATCCTGCCTTCAGGGGCTTTGGAGAATAGCTTGACTCCCTCTTCTTTGGGGCAGCCCCTGAGATACTGGAATACTGCTATCCTGTCCCCCCTCGTCCTTCTCTTCATTAAAGTAGACAAACCCAATTCCAGCAGCCGTTCCTTGTATGTTTTAGCCTCCAGTCCCCTGATCCTCTTTGCTGCTCTTCTCTGCACCCTTTCCAGAGTCTCCGCATCTTTTTTTTTAACGTCGTGGGGGACCAAAACTGGACGCAGCATTCCAGGTGGGCATCTTAAAGGGGGCTTCCCGGGACCCCCTGGGCATGCTTTACACGGCTTCTCCTGCTTTTAAAAAAATTTTTTTTTGCAAAACCTTGCAAAACCAGGGCCTGCCTCTTTGTCTGCCTTCCCTGGAGAAGCTGGATCTGGAGAAGAGGGAGGAGAAATTGGGGGGGGGGGTAAACGTAGGGTGAGACCAAGCTGGGGGGGGGGAGCAAAAGGAGGTCTCAGCCACAGCAGGAAAGGTGTCAGGAAGCAGAGGTGGAAGAACAGGCAGGGACGTGTGAATGGTGAAGGTAGAAAAGGGGGGGACGGGAGGTGGGGGGCGCCAGGGGTGACGTTGCAGGATGGGAAATTAAGGCGGGCGGGAGAATGGGTAGGGAGGAAGGGGGTCTGCCAAGGGGGGGGCACGCAGACCCTCTTTAGGAATCGGATTTGGTTAAAAACCAGGGTGGGTTGTGTGAACGTGGCCACCTGATCTTCTCCTCCAGGACAGCTGGCCAGTTGGGGGAGCAGGGACTTCAGTTCCCAGCCTTCAGACCAAGCGGGCTAGGAATTCTGGGAGTTGAAGTCCTAGGGCAGTGGTTCCCCACCTGTGGGTCGGGACCCCATTTGGGATCGAACGACCATTTCACGGGGGTCGCCAAACAACGCAGTCCGCCATTTTTCCCCCCCTTTTCCTTAGCTGTGCTCCTCCCTTTTATTCTATTGGCTTTTGAAAGCCAATAGAATAGACTCTCTTGACTAGAGTCTAATTCTATTGGCTTTCAAAAGCCAATAGGAATTGTCCAGGCTGTCTCTGCCCTGCTGAGCCCGCCAAAAGTCCCATTCTGCAAACGGTGCTGCACCAGTTGAGTAGTCTTCGACTTACGGCCCGTTGAATAGTCCTCGACTTACGACCAGTTGGGGGTCGCGGCATTAAAAAGGTTGAGAACCACTGGGCTAGTCTAAAGAAAAGAAGAAATAGGGGTGACATGATAGCAGCATTCCAGCATTTGGGGGGCTGCCACAAAGAAGAGGGGGGGGGTCATGTTATTCTCCAAAGCACCAGAGGGCAGGACGAGAATTTGCGACGGTCGCAGTGTCCCGGGGAAACACAATCCCCTTTTGTGACCTCCTGATCATAGGAAGCCAGATTCTCTTAACAACCTTGTTGCTAACTTAACAACTGCAGTGAGTCAAAACGGGGCAAACCTCACCTACCAGCTGCAGAAATTTGAGGTATAGTTGCCGTCATACGTTGGAGGACTGTCTGTACTAACTGCACGGATTCACTTAAGAACTGCGGTGGGAAAGGTGGGAAAACGGGCTCAAAGTCCCTCAGCAAACGTCTCGCTTAGCCACGGATCATTTGGGGCCTCCCTCCTGGCCGTAAATCGAGGACTTCCTGCAAAGCTGCTACCCTCCTGGGAAACCGCGGGCGAAGAAAGGCGAGAGCTGTGCGTTCTCGGCTCTCTCTCTCTGTCCGCCCAACGAGGCGCTTCGGCGATCGCCAAACCGTTTCGGCCCTCTGGTTGAAAGCCAGACGAAACCAGCGTGACCACCGAGGGAGAGACAGACAGACGGACAGAGGCCGTCCGCTGGGCCGGTTGAAGGAGAGCCAAGGCGCGGAGGGAGAATAACCTTTCTGTGGGCCTCCCCAGTTTTTGGCACACACCTTTCCGACGCTAAATCAGTCCGTCGGGCCGAGGCCAGACACATATTGCAAAAAGAGAGAGCGAGAAATTCTTGGCTTGGAGTGGGATTTCAACTCTTTTGTCCGTCTGCTTGACGTCCGGGTGGCCTTTCGCTTCTCTCGCTTCCTCGACAGGTTTCCCACCAGAAGGTCTTTTGAAGGCTCCGAGCCCCAGGAGACCCAGATTATTCTCTTGGCGCATAAGAAGCGAACCTTTCCAATCCGTCAATATTTGACTTTGCCGCGGGGGCCACGCCGCAGCGCCGGCCCGCTCCTTGGGGGCCAGAGATAGCCCTGAGTCAT